ACATAAGAAATAGACCTTTGTGAGCCTATACTCCACAGAATCATAACTGCATAGTATTTTGTGTGATCAAAGAACAGCGACGAGTAAAGCGAAGACAAGTTTTCTCTTCAATGCAATGTGACCGTGAGTGACTGGCATCTATGAAGTAACGCATAAAGTGTTTTCATGTCCTCTTTATGAAAAGTGTATTTCTGTATTTCTAAGATTTTATAGAAAATTATCAATCTTACTTTAAAGCTAGCGAGAGAACTGTGACTACTAACTACAATCACCACTAAGTCAAATTTGTCAGCGTTGCTACGCACTGTTGTTTTTAGTCAGCGAATAATGGTAAGTTGTTAAAAGAGGTGAGATGACAACTCCTTAATTTCTAGCGCTTTGTATGTGGAGAATCAAAACAAGAAGTTCTGAAAAGAGCAGTTCTTTAGATAGAAGAAGAAATAATGGCATTTCCACTCTCCGGTTTGCTATTATGTTAAATTACTTTTATCTTGGCACCGATAAGATTTAGCGATAGAAAGAATCTAATACCGACTCATTAACAGTATTACCAATGTTCAAAGAAGGTTATAAAAAACAAATATCCACGTACTCCTTAGATTCACAGATCAAAGATCCTAGTCTCAGTTTTATAGAGTTGTGTTAGTTGATAAGAATAATAAATTATTTCAGGTTTTATATATTAAAATAAATTGATCAAAATGGTCATTAAAACACTGCCAGTTCCGCAACCAGCCGGTGCACTGCAGAAAAAATCATCTCAGCAGTCAGGTTTGTTGCTTTCGTTTTTTCGAAGTAATCCTCGTATACTTTTAAACAAATTGACTTACAACTTTAGTATCTGGTCCTCCATTGATTCATAATGAATCAGAACGAAAACTTCCTGACGCTGCTGATTTACGTCGAATGTGCATTATAACGAAGACAGATTTGGATCGTATTTATGATAATTTAACACGTCGTCAACGAGAAAAAGAATCAGTAATGACAGATTACCTCCGCAAAAAAGAATTGTCTGAAAAATCGGCACTTGTTACAAAAAACTGGCCAAATAGTATCATTGTAAGGCCCTCACTAGGATGTCGTTTTTCGAAATTGAAATTTTTCTTGATGGCTATTTAGGGTGCACGTGAAAGAAAAATTGAGTTGAAAAAAATTCGTGAACAAGAAGACGAAGAGCGAAAAAAAAAACTTGATATTGAAGAAGAAAAATTAGCGGCTGATCGACGAAAAGAACAGATAGAAAAGGCGAAGCAATTGCGATACTATGAAACCGATAAAGTGAAAACATTTCACGTATGTTTTTTCATTGTTTAGGAATGTTAAAAATACATTATTTATTATTTGTAATTTAAGGGTGCTCTATTGCTTGGTGAAGTGTTAAAAGAGCGAGATTTGCAAATTGAAATGAAAAAACGCATTGAACAATCAAAACAATTAGATGAAGCAGAAACCCGAAAACAGTATGAGGAAGCACAACGTGATTTTTATAAGTTAGAAGCAGAAAAGACGGAAAAGAAAGCCAGGTGGGTACACCATTAAACTCTACACTGAGCCAAGAAGAATATTTTCGTGCTTTTATTTAGAGAGCGTCAACAATTAGCAGAATATCATATGGCACAGTGAGTACTATCATTTTTTCTGAAAGTGTTGTCGACTGTATATCTGTCAGTGTGC